GCACTCTTGCAATTACACAAATGCTAATAATCATAAGCCAGTTGATTCTGTCTCACAGTGACACAATGTGTCAGGGCAGAACTGTGGCCCAGAGGGTTTTCTTTTCCTCCCTCCCCCGCCATAGGGTTTTCAGTGGATAATTTTTCAGAAGTAGATTGTCAGTACCTCATAAATGGACTCAAATCTCCAACCTTTTGGTTAGCAGCCACCAAGGAGCCAGGGCAATAACAACAGTTAACATTTATTGAACATTTATTATGTATGAGTCAAGTACTTGGTAAAATATTTTGTATTATTTCATTTAATATTCATCTCAATCACATCAGGAAATCAGCATTATTTTTATATTCAAATATACCTATTAAACTCTTACGTCCCAAGCACTCTAACCATTTGCCGAGAGGTAAACAGAGGCTGAGGAAAGTTTAGGAACTTGCCCAAGATTATGTATACCTTTGTAAGCGGCAGACCTGGAACTTGAACCCACACCAAATCAGGGAAGGAATGAGCTTATCTAATTTTCAGGGTCCTAAGAATACAAAATACTTTATTTTTGACAAAAACTCCCAAGCATATAAACACATTAGTAGGGTCTCTCAGAAGGACCTGAAAGGGGCTTCTGCCAATTAGAATCCTGGGCTAGTGAGGGGCCCTGAAGTTGCATTAGCTTCAAAGTAAAGCCTGCTCTGGGCTATGCTGATAGTCATAATGTTTTTGTTCCTTCTTAGGTAGTAACATGAATAAATAGGATGGTTGTTTAAGCACTTGTTAAAAATAAGAAAATGGGAATTAGACTATACACTTGACAGAAGAGAAACTTCTAAGTGAATAAACATGAAGAGCTTGAAAACTACTTAGAAAACAACTGCCTAGTGATATGGAAATCTGGTGGTATGGTGGTTACATGTTGGGCTGTGATCCACACAAGGTCAGCAGTTCAAAACTCCCAGCCACTCCGCAGGAGAAAGATGGAGCTTTCTGTGCCCGTACAGTTAGTCTGGGCAAGTCACTTGAGTCTGTACCTGCCGCACCAGGTGCTTTTCTTCCCTTTCACACTAAACTTTGCTGTCTGCTTGCAAAAAAAAAAAAAAGAGCGTTACAGTCTCAGAAAGCCACGGGGGCAGGGTCACTGATACTGAGTTTGTGTCAATTTGATAGCAAAGAGGGAGTTTGAGATGGAAATTTGGTGTGCTTTATGGATAAGCTTTGAATTTGTTGAAGAATTTGGTCTCTCAGAACAATCAAAATTAATTCTATACCTTCCACTGATTTTCTAGACACTGTTGCCCCTCTTTTGGGTGATTCTTTTCCCAGTGTCTAAGACTTCTTGTAAAGAGCTGCGGTGGTGTAATGGTTATGCATTGGGCTGCGATATAAAAGGTCGGCAGTTTGAAACCACCAGCTACGCCTCAGGAGAAAGCCAGGGCTTCCTACTTCCATAAACAATTACAGTCTCAGAAACTCACAGGGGCAGTTCTACCCTGTCCTGTAGGGTCCCTATGAGTCTGCATGGACTTGATGGCAGTGAGTGAGAAGACATCTTGTAAGCCCTTATATAACATGATTATATAACAAGATTATTTATATTTACATATTACATAGGATTATTTTCATGTCTAGCTTCCCAAACTGGACGTATCACAACAGTTAAGTTCTCAGCTGCTAAGTGAAAAGGTCGGTAGTTAAAACCTACTAGTCATTGCAAGGGTGGAAGCTGTGGCAGTCAGCTTCCATAAAAGATGAGACAGTTTAGGAAAGCCTAGGGAGCAGTTCTATTCTATCCTACAGGGTCACTGAGTTGAAATCTACTTGATGGGAGTTTTGTTTTTTTTTGTAAACTGCATGCCTTGCAAACCTGATCTCTGTGTGTTTTAATACCCTAGCAGAGTAAACATCCCAGAAATATATATATTGATGAAATTATTATTGAGAACTACCAATGGTATAAATTGAAAGTATTTTTAAAGAACCCATAAAAATCTGTGTTTGAGAGTTAAATAGTAGCGTTATAACAGTATTATACAATCTTACCCAAACCCCAAACTCACTGCCATCGAGAGGATTCTGATTCATAGTGGCTGGATAGGGCAGAGTAGAAATGCTATAGGATTATGGTAAGTATCTGTAGACTATACTAGAGGGTATGACTTAATGTCATCATTTTTTGTTTTCTTGGGTGTATGAACTGGTAAAAGACAAAAACCACATCAGAGACATCTCAGAGGCAGAGAGAAAGTCCAAGATTATCTGAAGAGCACATTCCAGATCTCGTCTGAAGTGGTGAAGAATGAGACCACGGGCACCAGAAACTGGCACAGTGACTACGGAACAGAACAAAAGGAGAATTGCCAAGACTATGGGACTGTCAGAGTGACAGGTGGGCTTTCTGGTTTACGGAGACAGGCCAAGAGACCCTATGACTGAGAGGCTGAGGACCAGAGGGGCACTTGATTACTGGCTGAGGAGAGTAACTATATCAGCTGTGGACCAGTAACTGTATCCTGTTTATTGATCATGGCTTGTGGTAACCTATTAATTTCCCTAATGAACCCCCACAACTGAGTATGATCTGTGAATTCTGTGCAGTGCTTGCAATGAAGTATCAAACCTAGCGTAGACGTTCCGGGCTACAGGAGGAAAAGTTGGCATCAGCGTACATGAGAAGGATGAAGCATCAAGGCATCTCTGACCTCTGCGTCTTGGCAATAGGGAAGCCAGAGGAGGTCAGATATGGCCTCCCATGCCATTTACTGCACCTGTCAATCATATACAATGTTCTGCCTTCTCAGCTCCCCTTTTCTTCACTGTACTTAACACCACGTGACTTGATTTAATTAATGAACAGTCTTGCCCAAAGGCCTGTAAGATCCTTGAAAGCTATGTCCTCATCTGTGTTGTTCATCTTCATAACCCTCGTACTCGCCAGCATGTGTAGCACATGTAGGCCCTCAGAAAGTGTTTGTGAGTGAGTGAGTAAACCATGCCAACTATAAAGAAAGTTCATGCTTCAACGACATGAATGGAAAAGGAGAGAATTTCGGGTCATAACAGTATTTCTATCTCGAGAGAAAGAAAATGAGTGGTGGTACAATGGTAGGTACAATAACCAGAAACACTGTGTGTCCTGTGCCATCCTCACCATGGTTCCCGTTTGAGTTCATTGTTGCAGACACGGTGTCAACCCATTTTGTTGAGGGCCTTTTTTCACCAATCCTCTACTTACTTAACAAGCATGATCTCCAGGGACTGGGCCCTCCTGACAACCTGTTCAAAGAACACGAGATGAAGTCTCACCATCATTGCTTCTGAGAAGCATTCTGGCTGTACTTCTTTTAAGGTAGATTTGTGTTTTCCTCAGGCCAAACCAAAACCAAACTGGCTGCCACCGAGTTGGTGGTACCGATTCAGATTCACAGTGACCCGTTGTGAGTTTCTGAGACGGTAACTGTTTACAGGAGCACAAAGCCCTGTCTTTCTCCCACAGAGCAGGTGGTTTCGAACTACTGACCCTGTGCAATGCACAACCCCTACACCACCAGGGCTCATTTGTTGTCAATACCATAATTCAATTCATTAATTTTCCTTTAGTCTTCCTTATTTGTCCAACTTTCATAGGCATAGGAAACAAGTAGAAACACCATGACTTGAGTCAGGCACAACTTAGTTTGCAAAGTGATATCTCGGCTTATTAACACTTTAAAGAGGTCTTTGGGAGCACATTTGCCCAATGCAGCACACGGTCTGACTTCTTGATTGCTGCTTCAATGGTGTTGACTATGGATCCACATAAAATGAAATCTTCGACAACTTCAATCTTTTACGATTATGCTATTTATTGGCCAAATTAAGGATTTTTTAATTATGTTGAGGTATCATCCATAGAGATGGCTGCGGTCTTTGATCTTCATCAGTGTTTCTGTTCTGTTTATGTTCAGCAAGCAAGACTGTCATCTGCCTAGCTCATAGGTCGCTAAAGGGTCGTTTTGCAGTCCTGTTGCTGGCTTCTTTCTCATTTTGTCCGGCTTCTTTGATTATTTGCTAAGCACACACAATAAACACATATAATGAAAGGATCCAACCTTGCTGCCCATATTTCCTGACTTTAAATTATACAGCCTCTCCTTGTGTTTGAATGGCTGCCTCATAGTCTATGTCAAGGCTCCTTATAGGCACAACTAAAGTGTTCTGGAATTCCCATTCTTCATAACGTTTTCTGCAATTTGTTATGAGTCACAGAGTTGAATGCCTTTATGCAATTAAAAAACACAGGTACATTTCTTTCCAGTATCATCAGCAATGCTTTAGCTTGTTCCACACCTTTGTCTGTATCTGGCTTGAATTTCTAGCAGTTCTCTTCTGATGTAAAAAGGATTGGCCTACATTTAACCATCTCAGGAGGTGGCATATGATTACAAGTCAATGGTATTGAGGGAAGAAGTTAAACTGCAATGGAGGCATTGGTGGAAAACAAGCCTTCAGTTAATTGATAGAATACCAATTCAGATGTTTCAAAAAAGGATGCAATGCTGGCTGCGCTTATTCATTTATGCCAAGAAATGTGGAAGACAAAACCTGGCCAGGAGACTGGAAGAGATTCATTTCTGTACCCACTCCAAGGAAAGTGACCTAACAGTATTTGGAAATTATAAAATACCTCTGATATTATATGCACGTAAAATTTTGCTGAGGATAATTAAAATATGGATACCATAAAAACGAGTCTACCTATTAAAAAAGGAAACTCATTTTCAAGTTATAGGTCCAGACTTAGAACACTTACAACAGTAAATAAGGTAGTGAAAGAAAGTGTTAACTGGGGGCTGGGGGGGGAATATGGTGGGAAATGTACAAGTTCCTTAAAAAAAAAAAATCAACCGAATATTTTATAAGGCCCAAACTTTAAGAACTATTGCGGCATGGCGTGTCCACAAACATCTAGGCAAACGGCGGGCATGTCAGAAATCAGCCGGCACCGAAGGAACTCTCGTCCCCATACCAACCATCAAGAACTCATCCCTGCGATGGGCCTGAAAGGTCTGGTCGAATCCGAACGCCTGCGCCGCGATTCTCCCCAGCATGGACCTGGCGGAGGAGAGGCGGGTGAGCGCGCCCGGCGCACGAGTCGCCGCCTCCCCCCGCCGTCAGCTGCGCGGGCTTCCGGGGGTCGCCGCGCCGGCCGGCCCGCGCCCCCCACCACCCCCGCCTCCAAGGTCAGGGGCTTGGCGTCTCCGGCCCTGGGGCTCCTCACCACTGGCGGAGCCGGCTGACGATCTCCGGGGAGGTGAGGGACGGGAAGCTTTTCTGAGGCAGAAACCTGAAGTCGTAGCCGCCCGAGGGCCCCGGCTCGCCCGCATCCATAGTGGTCCGGGTCCTGCGAAAGCAGCGCCGTTTCCTAGGAGACGCGACGGCC